AAAATGTAAGGAATCTGAAAGGCAGAGTCAGCAGCCCTGGCTTAGTATCTAGAGTGGATCCCACATTTTATTCCCAGTACTGAACTGCCTGAGAGAGGAAGGCAGAGGGAGGCCCCTCAATGGTTTGCTTACACTTCCGTTATTCCTCCCCACATCTCTACTCCAGCACAGTACAGGTGAGTGACATGCAGGTTTTAAGATCCTTAGATTACAAGGAGGACATGGAAGTGTTGATAGAGGTTGCTCAGTTGTAATTTTTCTCAGGATTAAAAAGAAAAGAAAAATCTATGCTTCTCCCCTAAATGGAAGCACACTGCATTCTCCTAGTATAAAACGATAAAATCTCAGAGCAAATGACAGCTCTTTAAATTGAATTCATTGAGTTAACATTAGACTTCTTTGTCCTGATTTCCCCCTCACTTCATAATGGACTGGTGACTGTCCTGTTCAGGCTGATATCTGCATGTGGAAGGGCTTTAGAAGTTAGCAATATGTGAGCAATTTTTTTCCATGTAGACAGGCTATCTAAGCTGAGGCAGGTAGTAGGGCAGGAGTTACCCAGAGGCAATGTGAGGTCTGAAATTAAGGCAGAGGCACAAGTCAGCCCTGAGAATCTCACAGTGCCTCGGAAATCAGTTATCAGGTGTGCTGGCTAGTTTTACATCAACTTGACACAAGCAGCTAATTTGGAAAGAGGGAATTTAAGTTGAGAAAATTCCTCCCCCTATATTGACCTGTGAGAAAACCTGTTTGCACCCTGTGGTGCATTTTCTTGGTTGATGACTGATATGAGAGGGCCCAGCCCACTGAGAGAAGAGCAACTCCTAGACTAAGGGTCATGAGTGCTATAAGAAAGCACGCTGAGGAAACCATGGGCAACAAGCCAGTAAACAGCACTTCTCATGGCTTATGCATCAGCTCCTGCCTCTAGGTATCTGGCCTATTTGAGCTTCTGCTCTGACTTCAGTCAGTGATGGCTTGTGATGCTGAATTATAGGCTGAAATAATCCCCTAACTTTTGACCATGCTATTTTATCACAGTAGAAAGGTACCTAAGATGCGGGGAGAAAGAGAGTAACTTGTAGGTTCTTTATACATCTTTTTGCCCTTATTTTTTATCATGCCTGATTCAATACTTGCTACCTACTTACATCCTGAACATATGGTTTTGAAGATGGAGTAGAGTCTGAGGGCTACAAATCTACTGGTAGTAAGAAATATCAAAAAATAATACTAAAGAAATCTAGAATTATATGTAATCTGACCTCTCTCAGGGTCAACTCTCCAGTGCTGTTCTTTCTTTTCTGGACTTTGCTTCTTTTCAGCAGCCTATATCAAAAGGACTTTACAACACATGACCAACCATTACTCCTCTAGTTTAAGCTAACAGGGAATTACTAGATTTTTCATATGATCCAGATGGGGAACACTAGAATTGAGCCTTTGGGTATAAGACATACAATTTGCTTTTTCTCCCACTATGAAAAGTAGGAAAAATTTAATGACTTTAACTGGTAGTATTTTTACTTTCAAGGGACTATTATAAAACAAACATGACAAATTATTGCAATAGAGACAATGGATAAGCATGTGGTGACCTAGCACCAGTTAATGTCAATAGTCAAGTCCTTGAAGGGAAAGAACTGTTTTTGTGATTAGACTGAGTTACAGAGACTCCAGCTGGTCAATGGCATTCCATGGAGGCAACAGAACAACCTGGGAAATTTTGAAAGATAGACCAAAATATCAGGCATGAAACATCTTTTTCTTGGTGAAGATGAGTTCATGGCTGATGAAGTAGAAGAAATTAAATAAGGGCAAATAGGGTAGATATAGAACAAAACCACAGCTTCAAACTAATGTGTAACTTGTTTATTGATTCTATGTGAACAATGCCCAATTTTCTCATGTTTCCCTTTCTCACCTTTCATTCTGTAGTTTTTGTTTTTTATGTCCTTGTGAGTCAGGGTTTTGCTATGTAGGCCAAACTGACATTATATTATGATTCTCTTGTCCTAGCCTCCTAAATGCTAGGATTCCTGGTAGTATGTTAGATTTCCTAATTGACTAAGCACAGGAATCACCCATAGTGATATCTCACAACATTTAGACGAGGTTAAAAGAACGTTGGAGTCATTGACACATTACAAATAAAAGTATTTACAAATAAAAGTATCTCCAAATGTCATGAAATGTATCACAGAGTAGAAAGGACAAAGAAGCAATAAAAGATAAATTGGAAAAAATAATAGGAAAGAACAGGCAAATTAGCAAACACCGATTAAATGAGTGCTTCTCAGCGTGACTAGGACAGCAGCAGTAACTGGAATTTGGTAGAAATGAAAATTATGCACACTTCAGAATCAAAATGCTAGGGCTGGAGGCCAAAAATGATTGTTTTGTCAGGTCCCCCAGGTGCTCTGACACTTGCTTAAAGGTTGACAGGTGCTGTCTCAGGGTGAGGCACCAAGCATAGCTGAGTTGGCCTTGAGATTTATTGAAAAAAATAAAATAGCCACAGAATACTCACACGTCTCAGGAATGATCTTTCCTAGGAATGGAAGGTTCACAGTTTGCTGTGTTTACTCATTCTAAAGGCATTTTTTCCATCTTTGTCTTTCTTGTTTAATGTCAGAACCAGGGCTTGGTTCTTTCAATATACTGTCTCCCAATGGCTCTTTCTTACTTTGTATAGCTATACCCTAACTCTGTATTTCTTCTATCCATCCCACTGAACCTCCTGTCTTGTACTTCTGATTTTTTCTTCACACAGACATGTAGATGTCACTACAAATTTAATGCACACAAACACATTTTCACTTTCTCCTCATCCTGTCTCTTCTGTGTTTCTATTCACAGTCTTCCAGGTGAGCACAGAGTCTTCCCTCCCTTTCTTCCTTTCACACTATAGACTTTTAAGGTTCAAATCCCAGCCCAGCTACTTATTAACTCTAATTTAACCATCAGAAGAGCTGTTACTTTGTCAGATTTCCTGACTATAAAATGGGATGCCAATAGCATCTATCTACAGGTATTTTGAGGACAAGGGCTGGAGTTAGTTAGTCCTTTAGAGGAGTGCCTCACACAAGGGTGTGTTGATCGATAGGTGCTCAGGTATGGCATATGATTCTTTCCCCTATGTTCCTGGAGTCTTCAATATGTCTCAGCTTTCCAGGAACAGTAGAGTTGACAATTCCATTCACCAAGTCATCTCAGACACTAGTGTGGATTCTATCACAGATTTCTAAGGCTGGGATAAATATTGCCTCAGACGAGATCACTATATGGAGTGGACAGAGGCACAGTTATGCCAAAAGGACAGATTTCTTTTTTCTTTTTAATGAATGAGCAGCACACAAAGCTCCTTACTTGTGTTGATGCTGTTGGCATCATTTGATCACAGAGCAAGCCTGCACTACCTCTACAAGGAAGGATACTTAGAGCTGTGGAACAGAGCATACTAATTAGCATTGTCCTGTTGATTCATTAAAATCTCCAGATTTCAGTTATTTGATTGAAGTCAGAGTTATGTTCCCAGCACCCACATAAGATGACCCACAATTGCTTGAAACTCCTTCTCCTAACTGTGAAATAAGTTAGGTAAGAGGGGATCTGGATTCTACCAATGAAAGTCATAATGAATTAAGATTCTTCTATGAAGGAGGAATTAGCATCTTGGTTGACTAAACCTTTGAGCTACTTATAGCAAAAGATGATGGAAAAGAGGAAATCCTGAACCATTATCCCAGTTTTCCATTTCTGATAGACCTATTGCTTGCCTTTCATAAGCTGCTATAAGATAGTTTTCAGTTTTTATTGTCTGCTCTGTTCTTCTAATGGAGGCTTCTCAGATTGGCTGCTCATGTTTCTAAAAACCATCTCCATTTGACTTAAATAGATCTCCCAGCACTCTTGTAAAGGAGGTGACTACTCTAGCAGGTGCACTGGCAGTTTGGATGGTCCTTACTTGAGTCCAGCATACCTGCATGTGGTAGGCTGTTGACACGTTACCATGGGTGCAAAGGCCATCTCTGCCTCTCAGCTTTGTGACTTTGGAAAACTATAAACCTTTGAATAAGTTTTCTCAAATGTAAAGTGAGGTTAATAACAGCATTTAGAATCTTATGTTGGGACTCAGTTACTTCATATACATAGTGGACTAATTATTCATAACACCTCTCAATTTCCTACTCTTTTGGTATTTTACAATTTGAAAAACTACAACTGAAATTTATGCTTTGTGCTTGCTGTCCTTTCTGATCTGGCATTATTTTCTAGTGAGTAACAAGAAATAGAGGGGACAATTAATGTTACATAAACAATATCTCTACTTAGAAGGCAGTGACTCTCTCTGAAGTCAAATTTTGTCTTGTAACGAGAGCGAGACAGTGTAATCCTCTCCAATAGCAATTAAATATATTGTCAAACTTTCATAAACAAATTCCTATCATAGAACATCCTAGCTTAAAGCTGGATGTACTACCATTATAACCTTTTCCTTGTGTTTCACGACAAACATCTCATATGCACTTTAATACCAGACAGAGAATTTTAAAGATTTTACCATTTCCTTTATAAAATTCAGATGAAGATATTCCATGTATATATTTGCAAGTTAGTATTCTAATTTGGTCCTGAAGTATATTTTGTGCTTTAATGTTTCTAGAAATAAGTTAATTCCCACAGCTTTATGCTGTTTACTTCCTACCATTGAGACTAGTCTGCTTAGCTTCCGCTGTAATTTGAAGCAAATATACTCTACTTGGCTCATACAGTTTCAGAGAGTAAAAGAAGTTATATATGGCAATACTTTCCTCTTATTTATGGAGAAATAGTACATGTTTTAGACAAGAATTTTCTCATAGGATACACTTCTAGGAACTGGTTTTGTGTGATACCTTTTGTAACACAAAGGAAAATGTGATGGAACAGTCAGTACAGTCTAGTACGTTTTTGAGGTCTAACGTTCCTCCTTTTTTTATATAGATGATTTAGTAGCCTTACCTTTGTGAAAAGACATCACGGTAGGGGCTGCCATGTTGCAGTGCGATGCCATATCCCCGGTCAGCAACAGTATTCCCAACAGTGTAGAAGGAACAGTCAGGGTCATTGATAGCCACATACTCCAACACAGCTGCATCCCATACAAAAGCATAGTTTCCGTATTTTACCTGTGAAATTATGGGGGAGAAACAAAACAGGACTTAAGGTTAAAAAATTTATAGAATAATAAATATTACAATAGTATATGCAAAAATTATAGGCTACATGTGTTTAAGTAAACTCATATTTGTGTTTCTGTTACCCTCTTGAACATTGAAATGGCAGTGAAGGTAGACTAGTATCCATGCTTTCAGGCAGTGTGGCTTATAATAAAAGTATCCCTGAATGTGAGCTGCAAGAATGTTAAAGACATTTTTCTGAGCTTGCAGTGTGTCTTACCACTTAGATGTTCATTTCTGGGACCCTCAAAAACTATGCTTCTAGAATTGAGATGTGCTGATTCTGTTAGGCTATCAGGCCTCTAAACTAGGCACATTTCTTCATACCCACTATGGCTTCCTTATGACCTATGTTTTACATAAATGCTCACAATTTACATTAAGGAGAAATTAGTAAAATGGCTCTATCCATAAATTTCACTCTGTCTTCTTTGTCCAACTGAGTTCTTCTCTTTCCAAGTACAGTTATGGAAGCTCTTAGAGTTAGTGCCTAAATAAGTTTTTCTTGAGTGTTTTGTTAACATGCGTTAGAAAATTTTTATTTTATCCCATATCTTCCCTTCCAAAGAAGCCCCTTTCCTTGATGGTCATTACAAGGAGGAAAACAATTCTACAATCTTCTGTATCAACATTTAGGGGCATAAATTCATAGTGGGTTCTCTAGAATATAGCTTAGGGATTTTTTTTAGTCAACAATAATTCATATGGGAACCTGACATTATGGTTTGGATTTGTCATATCTCCCCCACCCTGCAAAGGTCATGTGTGGAATGCTAATGCTGCAGCTGGTGGTATGGTTCAGAGGTGGATGGATCATGTGGGCATGACTTCATCAGTGGGCTATTCGTTGACAAAAATCAAAGCTGCATAGACTCTTGGGAGTTGGGGAATAATTCTTGGCAGCAGACTAACTGATTTGTGAGACATTTCTTGTTCTTGGGCCCTTCCTTTTTGTCCCTGATTCTTGCCACCCCTAAGGAACAGAGCTCCCCTCTTCTTTGCACACCCTTCTCTCATGATGCTCTCTGCCTTACCATATACAGACCAGATGCAACAATACCAAGCAACGTGGTCTGAAAACCATCAAATGATGATCCTTCTACTCTGAAGTTTTTTCCTCAAGTATTATGTCACAGTAGTAAAAACTAACCAATACACAATTTTTTTAATGAAGGGGCTGGCAACAAAGGCTGCTTTTCTAGAGCAGCAGTTCTAAACATTCATAATGTTGAGACCCTTTAATACAGTTCCTCATGATGTGGTGACATCAATCATACAATTATTTTCACTGCTACTTGATAACTGAAAGCTTGTTATTGTGAATTATAATGTACATAGCTGTGTTTTCTTGTGTACTTCAATGACCCTTGTGAAAGGGTCATTCGGACCTGCCCCTCCCAAGGGGTTGTTACTCACAGGATGAGAACCACCATTCTAGAAAACATGGGTTTGATTCCTAGCACTGAAATATTATCTTATGACCTTCTGTAAATCCAATCTAAGGGGCTCTGACACTCGTGGACTCTGTGGTATTATGCATGCACATGGCACACAGACATGCATGTAGGCAAAATACTCTCTTTCTCTCTCTCTCTCTCTCTCTCTCTCTCTCTCTCTCTCTCTTTCTCTCTCTATGTATGTATGTATGTATGTATGTACATGTACATATACATATACATATATATATATATGTAATAAAGGAAGTAATTATGTTAAATACCTTAATAGTTTGTCTAGAAAACTCTTAAAGGTAAAGATAAAATTTAATGATGATAATGATGATGCATTTTTTGGTCTCTCATTTCTCTCTCTCTCTCTCTCTCTCTCTCTCTCTCTCTCTTTCTTTCTTTCTTTTTTGAGACAGGGTCTCACTCTGTAGGTATGGCTGTCATGGAACTCACCAGGCTGACCTTGAACTTGTAGAGAACTGCCTGCTTCAGCTTCCTAAGTGCTTAGATTAAAGGCATGCTGCACCATATTTAATACAATTCTAAAATTAAAAGGGACAGTTTAGGTCCTACTACTCACCTGGCATGATTTTATAATTTTTCCTTTTATTTTTTCTGTTTATTAATTTATGTTTTTATTTATTTTTTATTTTTTTACATCCAAAACACTGCTCACCCTCCTCATCCCCCCTCCTGCAGTCCCTCCTCTCATCCCTTCTCCTCTTCTCCTCTGAGCAAGTGCCCCCTCCATATCCCCACACCCTGACATATCAAGTCTCTGCCAGATGAGGTGCATCCTCTCCCACTGAGGTCTACTTCCGTCTTGCCCAGTTTTACAGTTTTTGTGATATATCAGTGACCTTGAAACTTCCTCTAGAAACTCATCTTGATTTTTTTCCTCTTCTCTGTCAAACAGCCACCATGCCACCATTTCCAGCATTTTTAGAATGGTCCTTCATGGTTGAGGACATTCCAGTTTGCTACTAGAAAGTATTCTAGTGCTATAGTTACTACTTTGTGAGCTGTGCCATTGTACCGCAGTATCTGCCAACATCATTGCTATTACATATACTATTTCTAGCAATTTAATATTAGGAAGATTTATAAGTGAATTTTAAAAGAGAAGCGTTAAAATTGTGTGATGATAGCCTATAGAAAGATCAATGAAACAATTTTAAAAATGTTCCTGGCATTTTTTTTCATTGCCTAAAGCATGCAACCACTGTCCTTTGGATGCTTCTAAACTATCAAATTTAAACTATCGAGAAAATACTCATCAGCAAAGTCTACAGCCAGTTTTCAAGACAGAAAATAATTGAGAGGGTAGTCTAGAATATCCAATCCATCTGACCAGGTGGTAGATGTTTCAGAAGTTTTCAACTAGCTTTGTTTTGTGGTCAGGCTTAGATTAGCAGATAAAATGAATGGCGTTGATTTAGTCACTAGTGTGGTGCTTTGTTCTAGGTTAAGCAAAGGGTAAGACTATATTTGAGTGCTTCCTCTTCATATATCCCAGACTGAATTGTAAGGAAGATGACAAAAGGATATCTACTGCCACTATTTTCAATGTTTAGACCCCAAAGTAGAGGTATTAAGAAACTGTGGTACATTATTGGAGAAAAGGTATCTTCAAAGATCTCACCATCTTTAAATTAGCATGCTATGATAATGACTGGCCTGACAGGATATGCTTATCTGTGCATAGGGACATGAATGTTTTGGAAGTAACCAATAACTTCCTCGTTGGACCTAACGCCTGCTCCATGAGATAGAACTCATTCCTAGCACTCTTAGTGGGGTTAAAGAACCTGTGGTCTTTGACTCTGGTGGAGAACTTATTACTGTATGAAGACAGTTTTACAGAGACATTTAATGAGTCATTGCTATACCCATAGATCATTGAATCTCTCACCCTTCAGCAGAGAAGCTTCTTCTTGAAGTAGCTTTGAGACAAAGACATCCTCCCCAACTGGTTAATGTACAGAGAAAAAGAGACTATGGAATGCTCAGCCCTGACTGGACACAGTCACTTTTCCAATGCTCAGGAAACTTTGTGGAAGAAGAAAAACTACATAAGAGCTGGAGAGAAGAGGGCACCTTCAGGAAAAGTCTTTTCTGGACACAGCAGGAGAGTTGAACATATAAACTCACAGCAATTGTGACGGCATGCACAAGAGTTGCCACACCTCAGGTTAGACAGTATCTTAGCATGGAGGGGGTGGATGAGCACAGAATCCCACCACTAGCTGAGGTGCATTTTGGTATTTGATAGCTTCTAGAAGAAGAAAAGACATCTTTCTTCAATGATGTGAACCCTGGTAGGTGACAATGGTCCAGGGCATGCCCTATCTCTAAAAATAGTTGGGCACCAGAAACTGGACCTGATTGGGGAAAAAGAAGAAAACTGAAAGTTGGGTGAGTAGTGAAGATATAGGAAAAGTCATTGGGCCATGAATGTGATTCATACATTGTGTCAAATTCTTCCTTAATAAAGATGTGGGGAGGATCTCAGAGTAGTTGGAGGAGGGGAAACCATTACAAGAATATATTGCATGCAAAAAACTATGTTTGATGAAATAAGAATTAAAAAAGAATACCAATTAAAAACAGGTCCTGTTTGGTGGACACTGATATCTACTTATGTTTAGAACAGAAGGCCTTATAGCAATAATAAATTAAAATAATTAATAATAAATAAATTATTAATCAATAATAAATAATAGGAATAATTTGAGGGTAGTAACCCTCAGAGAGGGTTTGATTGCTGGATTTCATAAACCTCAGAGAGGGTTTGATTGCTGGATTCCTATAGTACAGCCACAGAATTGCTTTAGGTTTAGTTTAAGGACTTTTTATTGAGATGTGTGCTGGCAGTTTTCATGCATCTCTTAAGACTCTGAAGCTGAATTTTGAGGGTGATGTAAGGCATGAATCCCTCTCCTTAATCTGTTTACAGGTGGATCATTGAGACAAGTTGCACAATGTCTGTAGCAGATTGCACTGTCATATACATTGCTTCTGTTGAAACACACAGGAAATTCATTTTTATGGAAAGGAACTGGGACAGTCTGCTCAAATATTCTGGTAACTGAAATAGTTGTACAAAAATTCAAATATTTAAGTTCCATATCTATGTACCTAGCTGATTAAACACAGATACTCTGTGGAGACCACTTCTTGTTCAAGCACACTCTACTGAGCTAATCATTATTTTTGCAAGTTTCTTCCTGTCAGATGAGGAAATGTAAACTTTCAATATTATTTTCTCAAATATTTGCATTTCTGGCCCAGTAAAGAGAAAAATGAAAACATATATTTGAAAATTTATGCTCCTCAGTGTTCAATGGAAGATGAACATTCATTCTCTCTGTGGACTGTCTTTGGTTCTGTGCTCCTATTCCAATGCTCCCATCATGAAGTGATGAAGAAAGCACTAGGTAGCTTATTAGGTAGTACCCTCCAGGGTAACTATGGAAGCCCACACTATAAGCAAATACACAT